ATTCCTGCAGGAATAGGTGGGGCACTGTAAAGTACTGCCCACAACCCCCCACAATCCCCATCCATGCTAATCCAACGAGCGCCAGAGCAGCTACCTGTCATCTACGGCCAACATGTGCCGTGTAATGCACACCCACACCAGGTAAGTGTTCTGTGAGGAACCGCAAACACCCTTGCTAACCAGAAAGGTGCCCAGTGCCCATTAACAGCTGCCACGTCACCATCCCCCATCCCCGCTCAACGTCATCCAACCACATCCAACCACAGCCAACCCTATCCAGTTACCATCTGAATTTTGAACTTGTTCTTTAACTGTTCGTTCTCATCCTTGTTTGTATCTGTGTCTAAGTTCACACCATCTGTTTTAGTTGATCCAATTCATCTTTGTGATCTTGTGTCCATTATCATCCATCTTGGTCTCCATTCAGCTGTCTTTTTCTGTAAATCTATATTAGTTTTGTGTTTATATAAGTAGCAAGCAACTATGGCTACCAACACACGATCCCAAAGACCAACAAACCACAGTGGTATTTCTTGTGATCCACCAGTCTCATCATCTAAACCACCCTCTAAACATAAACGAACAACATCATCTGCTGCTGAAAACCCCAAAACAAAGCAGCAAAAGTATGATGAAGATGAAGTCAAAGGAACTGGAAAAGAGCAGGGCAGAAAGGGGAAGAAGGAGGAAAAGAAAGCACCAAAAGGGAAGAAAAATAGGTATGCCTTTTGCCCCACACTTGCCATGATACTAACACTTGATTACTTTCAGAAAGACATCTGCCATGCGAGCTGAAGAGGATGCTAAGGCTGGCTCCCCTCTCAAACTTACAAGGTCTGTCTACCACCTATCCCAAATCCCTTTCACTAACTGGTGCACAGAGCTGAACAGGAACTTGAGGCCAGTAGTATCTCAGTTGCACCACCTAAGCGAGTCTGCCCAGCTGCTGCACCTCCCATCCCAGCCATGTGCACTCTCCCATCTGTACGTGACCGAGACACCAATGACGATAACAGTGACATCGACAACAAAAGTGACAACAATGACATCAACAATAACAGCGACATTGACATGGACAACAACAGCCACAACACCAACAGCAGCAGCAGCAATGGTGACAATGGCAACATGGATGATGAAGACAATAGTGATCATGACAACGATGGCCATGACAGCAATGGTGACAGCACCAAAAACGATGAGGATGAAGATAGGGATCAACATAACTCACCCAAGAAAACAAGTGGTCATCATGATGATGAGGATCATATCAGAGATCGTATTTGCGATCGTGAGACAGCCTGTGATCAAGATGACAAGTTCAACAACCTTTCTGGTGAACTTGACAGCATGGACTCTAACCCAGGTACACTAACTAGGCAAAAAGATTGTCTGAAAACTTTTTTGATGAAAATTGGTTTGTATCTCCAAGAAATCTGAACTTTTTGAAAAACTTCAATGACTACAGTAAACTACTACATCCATTCTATACACTAGAAAAATATCAGAGCATTTGAACAAAATGAGCAGCATATTTGTGGCCAGTAAAATTATTTGTGTCGTGACCGTGGGATATTCAAATGCATCGCATCAAACAACTTTCTGGCTCTCTTCATTGGAACTGCAAACCGCACCTCCAGGGGAATCTGCTTATGTTCACAACCCTGCCATGGCTCCTAATACGACCCCAACAAAACGAGAAAAGATCTGTACCATGAGAGTGGCTGGGTACTCTAATGATGAAATCTGCGCCACTTTGATTGATCGTCATGACCTTTCTGACTGACAAATCAGGCGCATCATGAAGAGATATGGGGGAAAGGAGAACTACTACAAAGTTGGACATTCAACGGGGCGCCCTCGCAAGCTCACTCCCCGTGACATGCGAATTGCCTGCCGACACCTGTCAAACCAGACCGCCCACGACACATCAGACCTGCAGCGCGAGTACTTCGTGGAGGTTGACTGGTGGCTACCACTTTTATCATAAAACCAAGGCACTTGCCTGTAGAGCTGTGTGTATAAGTCCACAAGTTTTATGAAAGGCCTTTCATAGGTGTGTCCTGTGTCTTTCTTTCTCATAAAGGCTATGTTCTTTTCATAAAATGTAGGCAAAGACCACAGGATCCTTTCATAACATTTCTTAGGACCTTTCATAAAAGCTTTCATAATTATTATCATGCGCTTTCTATGAATATTTCATTGAAGCTGTTCAGTTCTTTCATTGTACTTTTCATAATTAAACCTGTGCACTTTCAATAGGTATTTCATTCACTGGGTTAGGTGTATTCATTGCCTTTTTCATAATTAATGGTGTGCACTTTCATTGAATATTTCATTAGGAATTTTCGGCGCTTTCATTGCTTTTTTCATAATCAATCCAGTGTAATTTCAATAAATATTTCATTGACTATGTCAGGTGTATTCATTGCCTCTATCATATTTAATGGTGTGTGCTTTCATTGAATATTTCATTAGGAATATTGGATGCTTTCAATAAATATTTCATTCCCTAGGTCAGGTGTATTCATTGCCTCTTTCATTAGGAATTTCAACCATTTTCATTCCCCTTTCATTAATTAATGCTGTGCACTGATACGGATGAAACCATTTCACCCGTATAAAATTCAATTTTAACGATTTTACCGATAAAGGTCATCTCTAATAAATACACTACATACAATTGCAATGATACAAAGAGTCAATGCGCATACCCGGCACAGTTGACTAAAAATGCAAATGCGTGGAATCTGAATAGGACAAGGCTTTGGAACTGGCAGCAGTACGCGTCGTGACATTATACTTGGATCCTATATAAGATTCACCTACCATGAAATAGAGCATGAAGAGGTTCTAGAGTAAACACCCAACGCAGGGAGAAGAATTGCATTACTACCAAAGGGTTTAGAAACACATAATGGATTTATTGTGAAAACTCATGCTTATACAAGAAATACAGAAAAGACGACATAGACACTTAAACGGCATGTCTGAAACATTGAAAGACTAAACTACACCTAGGTAGTAAATGTACGAAGACTTAGCGTGGCTCACGACCATTCAGAAAGTCATGTACGGCAGTTCCCGCGTACGCATCAAAGACTGATGCGTCTGAACGTCACAAGTACAAACATGAGAAAAAGACACATTCTATTATATGAAATATAATAAGAACCCCCTGAGAATTAAGAAAGACATTTGAAAACACTTTCGGAGTGTCTCCTGACCTCCGTAATGAAAAGACGAGCCAAGACAAGGCATTTTAATTAAAAACTCGGAAGCGACAGAAGGCCGAAGACTATTGGTAAACATGTACGCATGCGCATCAACGCATCAGGAAACGTTAATCATTTTGTGATGTCATCTGTCAAACTGGTAAACCGGTCCATAGAAAGAAACACGCGAGATCATGCCAAGCTAAGAATAGCTACCTCGGCTAACTCCGTGTACGCATCAAACACTGATGCGTTTGAAAATGAAAGATGCGACACTACAAAATCTGTAGTGTTCACAGAGATAGACTACAAAATATACCACATGTTCATTAAATTTCATATTTGTAATTCGGACTGAAGTATCCCACATTAAAACACATGTAAAACGTAGATAGGGGTTCCTGGAGTATATAAGGAGCGTGCTGGCAGGTCAAAAAGGAAGCAATCGCCCCCTGTTGACCAGCTAGTTTCACTCCAAGTAGGAACTTAGGAGGTGGACAGTTGTAATCAATTAAAGGAGATTTCTTCATGGTCAGAAAAGTACAGTGTGAACGAAGCCAGCGTGCTTGGGAGTCAACATACTTGGAGACTTTTGAATAAGAAGTTTTAAAAACACAGTATCATTTAGACGAGACAGCGTACTCGTACCCTTGGTTTGGAGCGTAGTGACATAATAAAAACTCACGGGAGTCATAAAAGTCAATTGAAGTCGTGTTTTGTGTTAATAAAAGAAACTGTGATCAAAGAACTTTGCATTTAAGAGACCAAGTTCCCAGAAAGACATACTTTGTTCTATTGAACTATTCTAAACCACACCTTATAATAAAAACCCGTTTTGAGACGAAATCTCTTGAGACTTAAACCTAAGAAGACAAAAGTGGTATTTCTTAATACCAAAGGCCCTTGAACTCGTGCACTGAGATTGTGATAGTGTGTGTGTGTGTGTGAGTGAGTGTTTAGGTGTTTAGGGTTTTCCCAACGCACTTGATCCATTGTTCGCGTGTTTCGCACTTTCACGGTCATCCCCGTGCAATGCGTATCAGCGCTTTCATTGAATATTTCATTAGGAACATTGGATGCTTTCATTGTACTTTTCATAATTAATGTTGTGTGATTTCAATAAATATTTCATTCCCTAGGTCAGGTGTATTCATTGCCTCTTTCATTAGGAATTTCAACCATTTTCATTCCCCTTTCATTAATTAATGCTGTGCGCTTTCATTGAATAATTTATTATCAATTCTGGGTGCTTTCATTGTGCATTTCAATAAATATTTCATTTGCTAGGTTATATGTATCCATTGCTTCTTGTGCACTTTCATTGAATATTCCACAGCTTTCATTGGGATTTTTCATTGAGTATCTCTTGATATTTCATTCCAATTTCATATCTACCCCTAGGGCTATCATTATGATTTTTCATTATATTCCATGATAGCAATAAAATAGTTATTATGGTCCGCATTGGGAGGGTGGTCACGTGACCAATTTCCAAAAATGGGAAAAAAACAAAAGTTGTAGCTCTTCACCATAGCTTTCTGAATCAGTTGGAATTATGTTCTAAAGTGCTTCCATTGTGGAGATATGAGGTAAAATGTTTTCAAAAGTGCCGCATTTTTTTTTTGTTTTTTGCATTTTTCTACATGAAAAGAACACTAAACAAGAGGTCTTTATTGTCCTCCACTGATTCCTGCCGGAATCCACACTACAAACTATTGTAGTCTCAAAAAGCAGACACAATTAACATTTGTAATGAAAAAAGCGGACACTACAAACCATTGTAGTCTGAAAAAACAGACACTACTAACTTTTGTAGTCTGAAAAAACAGACACTACAAACCATTGTAGTCTCAAAAAGCGGACACTACAGTGTTCCGGCACTCCTTCGGACACCATCACTCCTTCGGACACTCGGCTCTAATTCATGCAGATCAACATCACTCGTTGTCAAACTTGGCATATGTCTGTAAATAGGTATAGAGATCACGTATTCAAAAAATTGGATTAATTGGTAAAGTTCTCAAGGTGCTCTGAGTGAATTACACTGAAATTGATGAAATTTGTGGAATGTTACTATGCTAATCTTAGGTTTTGCCCAGATCCGACAAACCTCACACACAGCAAAAAAATCCCATAGATATACAACCCTACTGTAAAGGTAATAATAAGAGAATGGGGACATTTAAAGGGAAAATGAGGGGAGCAGAAATGTTGCACAGACGGAACATCAAGAATGTGACTGCACGACATGGCCATAAGCTAATTTCTCACACACTTTTTGGTGGTGTCACGTAGTGTCCGAAGGAGTGAATATCGTGACATTTTGCCCGCTTTCTTAAACAGTGTATTTATTCACGTACCGGAATTCGTTTCTCCTGAAAATGTGGAATTACATATAAGATGTATTGGTAAATAGAATTGTCAATTCAGAATGAGTTATTTTGGTGTGTGGCCACTACAAAACGGGAATGTGCTTAGCCTGTCCGAAGGAGTGCCGGAACACTGTATTACTTTTGTAATGAGAAAAGCCAATAGTTGTAGCCCCTTCTCTTAGCTTTCTAAATCTGTCGAAATCATGTTGTTTAGTGTTCTTTTCATGTAGAAAAATGCAAAAAACAAAAAAAAAATGCGGCACTTTTGAAAACATTTTACCTCATATCTCCACAATGGAAGCACTTTAGAACATAATTCCAACTGATTCAGAAAGCTATGGTGAAGAGCTACAACTTTTGTTTTTTTTCCCATTTTTGGAAATTGGTCATGTGACCACCCTCCCAATGTGGACCATAATAGCTATTTTATTGCTATCATGGAATATAATGAAAAATCATAATGATAGCCCTGGGGGTAGATATGAAATTGGAATGAAATATTGAGAGATACTCAATGAAAAATCCCAATGAAAGCTGTGGAATATTCAATGAAAGTGCACAAGAGCAATGGATACATATAACCTAGCCAATGAAATATTTATTGAAATGCACAATGAAAGCGCACAGCATTAATTAATGAAAGGGGAATGAAAATGGTTGAAATTCCTAATGAAAGAGGCAATGAATACACCTGACCTAGGGAATGAAATATTTATTGAAAGCATCCAATATTCCTAATGAAATATTCAATGAAAGCACACACCATTAAATATGATAGAGGCAATGAATACACCTGACATAGTCAATGAAATATTTATTGAAATTACACTGGATTGATTATGAAAAAAGCAATGAAAGCGCCGAAAATTCCTAATGAAATATTCAATGAAAGTGCACACCATTAATTATGAAAAAGGCAATGAATACACCTAACCCAGTGAATGAAATACCTATTGAAAGTGCACAGGTTTAATTATGAAAAGTACAATGAAAGAACTGAACAGCTTCAATGAAATATTCATAGAAAGCGCATGATAATAATTATGAAAGCTTTTATGAAAGGTCCTAAGAAATGTTATGAAAGGATCCTGTGGTCTTTGCCTACATTTTATGAAAAGAACATAGCCTTTATGAGAAAGAAAGACACAGGACACACCTATGAAAGGCCTTTCATAAAACTTGTGGACTTATACACACAGCTCTACAGGCAAGTGCCTTGGTTTTATGATAAAAGTGGTAGCCACCAGGTCACCTCCACGAAGTACTCGCGCTGCAGGTCTGAATGTGTCGTGGGCGGTCTGGTTTGACAGGTGTCGGCAGGCAATTCGCATGTCACGGGGAGTGAGCTTGCGAGGGCGCCCCGTTGAATGTCCAACTTTGTAGTAGTTCTCCTTTCCCCCATATCTCTTCATGATGCGCCTGATTTGTCAGTCAGAAAGGTCATGACGATCAATCAAAGTGGCGCAGATTTCATCATTAGAGTACCCAGCCACTCTCATGGTACAGATCTTTTCTCGTTTTGTTGGGGTCGTATTAGGAGCCATGGCAGGGTTGTGAACATAAGCAGATTCCCCTGGAGGTGCGGTTTGCAGTTCCAATGAAGAGAGCCAGAAAGTTGTTTGATGCGATGCATTTGAATATCCCACGGTCACGACACAAATAATTTTACTGGCCACAAATATGCTGCTCATTTTGTTCAAATGCTCTGATATTTTTCTAGTGTATAGAATGGATGTAGTAGTTTACTGTAGTCATTGAAGTTTTTCAACTGCAGTTTGCGAAGAAGAAGGTTAAGCACGGCGGTGGGAAGGTTGTGGTATGGGCAATGATTACACCTTATGGGGCTGGACGGATTGTATGCATTGAAGGCAACCTCAACAAGGAGTTGTACTTGAGATATTGCAGGACGACCTCCTGGGTACCTACCAAGACCTTGGCCTGGATTATCATGACCGGTATTTTCAGCAGGACAATGACCCAACGCATACTTCGAAGCTTGTTCAGGCCTGGTTTTGCAAGAATCATGTCGATTTGTTGCCATTGCTGCCAAATAGCCCGGATATTAACATCATAGAGAATCTCTGGGATCATCTTGATTGTCAAGTACGAGCACGCAATCCCCTACCTCATTCTGAAGATGATTTGTGGGTGGCTTTGCAGGAGGAGTGGTATAAGATTGATCTTTCATTTATTAGAAAGTTGTATGATTCTTTGCCTCAGAGAGTTTCTGCAGTTTACCTTGCTAATGGGAGGAACACTAGGTACTAGATTATGGAGTATAAAAGTTCATATTTTGGTTGCTGTGAATGGATATTCTCTGATTTTGCCTTTTAGTTACATGCCTGCTTTAGGACTTGCCATATTTATACCATTCCTGTAACTTGTATTTTCATGTTCCACCCCCACATTTTTGCCTTAACCTCCATTACCATATTACCTTCATGCTGTCTCTGAGATCTTGTTAGTGCGTTTTGCGGTTGTCGTGATATAAGCCAAATCATGTTAAAAAATGCATGGGACAATCTTTTTGCCCAGTTAGTGTAGGTACTTGAATGTTACATATGTATAATGTATACTAAATGGAGGTCTTATCAGTGCCCCCCTAATTCCTGCAGGATTCCGGTCATTCCTGCGGATTGCGGTGGATTCCAGAGGAATGAAATTTGGCAGGGAGTCCTGCTATTTTCTTCATTCCGGTGCTTTACCATTCTGGCGGAATTTTGGCATTCCGGAATTGTGACCGGAATGGTCCCCGGATTGGCAAAAACGGAATGCACAACCGGAATCCAGTTTGTTGTTTGTTTGGCACAAGCCCATTGCCAAACAAACAATTGTTTGGCAACGGCTTTCACACTTGTCCAAACACAACCCTCTCTCCTCCCACCACCACCAACGTCCCCGCTCCTCGTAAATGCACGCCCACTACCCACCCACACCACGTCACCACGGTCACCTGTGGCCACCACTGCCCACAAACATCGTCGACCGCCAACAACAACCATGTCAACAACAATGCGGCAACACCACGTCAGCAAGCAAATGAGCCCCGGCAAGGTCAAGGCGATGAAAACAGACCGCAACGGACAACCACATCAACACACGACCACCATGACCATGCCCACGGACCACAACACGCCCCACAACGTCAATGGACGGCCACGTCAACAGACGCCAACACCAACAACGACACGAACACACCAATGGACACCCACATCAACAGACCACCACCATGTCAACGGATGACGACCACGCCAGCAGACGCCCATGTCAACGGACGACGACCATGCCAATGGACGCCCACGTCAATGCATGACGACGTGTCCCTGCCAATGGGAAACCAAGGTGCCACGTCGCTGTCAGCGACATGGCAACCAAACGACGAACGACAACATCATCATCGTCGTTCGTCGTTCACACAAAGGTGAGTCCCCTGACTCTCCTTCATCCTATCCCATCTCGCTAACAGCCACCACTACATCACATGACAACGACGAGTGCATTGTCCCTCCCCCTTCCCTGTCCTTCCCTTCCTTTTCCTGCCCCCCTTCCCTGTCCCTCCCCATTTCCATGTACCCCCTTTTCCCTCCCCCCTTTCCTGTCTGTCCCTCCCCATTTCCTTGTCCCTACCCCCTTCCCCCATTTCATTGTCTCTGCCCCCTTCCTTTTCCCTGCCCCCTTCCCTGCCCTCCCCAT